GTCTGTTGTTACCTGTCCTTGAGCCCACCTTGACTCATGCTGAGCCTTGGATGAGGCACCTCCCAGACTCCCTGTTCTCCATTGCTCTGCTCAGGTCCTGCAGACTCATGCCTGTGTCCTCCCTAATAGAGTCTAGCCATCTGGTGTGCGCTCTGGGCTTGAGTTTGGGCTTGATCTGTTCCAGGACCTATTTATTTGCCCTTTTGGCCATCCTTGGTATCCTCCCCACTCTTCTCCAACATCATCTCTCAAATGCATTGATTCGCTTCTTATCCACTCTGTTTACTGTCCAGCTCTCCCATCCGTACATGAGGATGATGGGGACTATAATGGCTTGGATGATTCTACCTTTAGTGCTCAATTATATATCTTTTACTCTTCAGGAACTTTTCTAGCTCTTTCATAGATGTCCTTCCCATTCCTCATCTTCTTATCTCTTGACTGCAGTCTCTTTTCTGATCAATGTTTGATCGAAGGTACAAGGAATCTTTAACTATTTCAATTTCCACATTCTCTAGGTTGAATTTGTGTAGTTCCTCTGTGGTCATTATTTTTCTTTTCTTGATGTTCAGCAGTAAGCCTGTCTTTGCACTTTTTCCCCTTGACTTTCCTAAGCGATCGTTCCAAGTCCCTGATGTTTTCCGCTAGTATTATGGTGTCATCCGCATATCTTAGTTTGTTGATGTTCCTTTCTCCTATCTTCACACCTTCTTCTTCTGTGTCTAAACCTGCTCTTCATACGATATTTTCTGCTTGCAAGTTGAACATGTAGGTGATAGGATGCAGCCTTGCAGAGGATTTGGTTGTTGTTGTTGTTGTGTTCTTCCAAGTCATTTTTGACTTGTGGTGGCCCAATCGTAGGTTTTTCTTGGCAAGTTTCTTCAGAGGAGGTTTGCCATGGCTGTCCTCTGAGGCTGAGAGAGAGTGACTTTCCCAAGGTCACCCAGTGGGTTTTTACACCTGGGCAAGGATTCAAACCCTGGTCTCCAGAGTAGTAGTCGAACACTGAAACCACTACACCATGCTGGCTCTCCTTGCAGAGGATGGAATCATAGATTCATAGAATCATAGAGTTGGAAGAGACCACAAGGGCCATCCAGTCCAACCCCATTCTGCCATGCAGGAACTCCCAATCAAAGCATCCCTGACAGATGGCCATCCAGCCTCTGCTTAAAGACCTCCAAGGAAGGAGACTCCACTACTCTCCAAGGTTGTTTGTTCCACTGTCGAACCTCCCTTACTGTCAGGAAATTTCTCCTAATGTTGAGCTGGAATCTCTTTTCCTGGAGCTTGCACCCATTGTTCCGGGTCCTAGGGGTGCATTAACCCGCCGGAGGACCTTGGAAGACTTTTATTACCCCCCCCCCGGACCAAGAAGCCACATACATAACATTTGAACCCTGTGGCTTCCAATTTGCCCACCTGTGCTCTAATGCGTGCAGAGTTCTGCACATGGCAAGCCCTCTGTTCACTCTCTGTGGATACCCAGGTCTGCATGCAAGAGGCTGTGTCTCTCCTTTTCTCCATCTCATGCATGCAACATTTTGCACAAAGCATCCATCCCCCGTCTACTCTCTCTTTCTCATATTGCATGCGCAGACAGTTTTGCACATGACGGGCTGTCTCCCTCACCCTCTTGCCTTCTCTCTCTGCTTCACCCACCCATCCTCTCCATTTGCGTGGGTTCCCTTCTGTGCCGCCAGAGCATCTGTTGACGGAGGGAGAAGCCCCGCATGAATGAACGGACGTGGCATGGCATGGCCACTTTGGTCTTGGCTGGCTGGAAGTAGCTGGCCGCTGCTCTCTAGGGAATCCCCCTGGGAGGGATCTGACTGATGGGGATCGATAAGCTTTTGTCACAGGATTCATTAAGCCAGGGGTAGGCAACCTTTTTGAGCCGGGGGCCAGGTTGCTGTCCCTCAGACAATTGGGGGGCCAAAGCACAATAAATAAATAAATAAATAATATTTTAAAATATGCATGCACACTCTCTCAGCCCCAGAAAAGCCATGATGGCAAAACCCCTGTGGAGATTTTGTCAAGAAAAACCCAAGAACAAGTAATAACAACAATAATCAATATCATAATGGCGGGCGGTGGCGGCGGCGGCAGGACCGGTCTGGGGCCGGTCCAAAGGCCTCGGGGGGCCGCATCCGGTCCCCCGGGCCGTAGGTTGCCTACCCCTGCCTTTGCTTCAGAGACTAAGGCCTTTAATCTGGTGTAGGGCAGTGCATTGCTCCCTTGTCCATGGCCTGCTGGCCAGGATCAAGGCAAACTATCATCACCAGGGAATGCGGATCTGTTGCAGTGGTGGTTGGTGGAGTCTGTATCTGTGGATGATGGTGGTGGTGGTGCTTTTTTAGGTGCTGAATCCAATTCATCCCATTTAGCTATAGCAGTGTGGGTAACTCCTTGAAGGTTTGTATTAAAAGCCAGGGAAGGCTCGACTTCAAATAGCGTCTGCTTGGAAAACAGGCAATGGGACATTAGAGAAATGGCGGAACTGTACAGTGGGCCCTTGGCATCCGCTGGGCTTTGGTTCAAGGACCCCCGTGGATAACAAAATCCGTGTGTGTTCAGGTTCCATTCAATACAATGATGTACTAAAATGGTGTCCCTTATATAAAATGGTGAAATCCAGGTTTGCTTTTTTGGAAGGTAATATATTTTTTGGGAATATTTTCAAGCCACGGGTGCTTGAATCCATGGAAGAAGAGTCCATAGATATGGAGGCCTGACTGTATAGGGGGCATTTGGTTGCGTAAGTAACTATTAGGCAATAAAAGAACAACAACAGGAGATACAAACTCTTTTATTGAAGAACGGTACCCCAAAGGCCATCCAGTCTGACCCCATTCTGCCAGGCAGAAAGACACAATCCAAGCCCTCCTTGTGACAGATGGCCATCCAGCCTCTGCTTAAAAACCTCCAAAGAAGGAGATGCCAACACTCTCCAAGGGAGCCGACACACAATTTGGTTCTCCATTGGAAAACATACATGCACTCACCTCTTGAAAACTCCAGCATCTTTTTCTCCAGCGTGAAGCTCACAGATCCCTTAGCAGTGAGTTCCTCAGGAAGTTTGTGTTGGAGAGAAGGGGAGGCACCAGATCAGACGAACCCCCACCTTGGTACCTTGTTTACCGGAAGGCCACCTTTTACTGTATAGACCTTTTTGGTCCTTGATCCCATCTGGAGATGTCCTCCTAGCATTGCAACACACCTTTCAGGTCCATTCATGCACAGGGCCCTTAGTGTGGTGGCACCCACATTATGCAATGCCCTCCCCTCCGACATACAGATGCTCCGACATGTCCATTTCATGATATTTAAAACATGCCTATTTAAACAAGCCTTCCCTATGGACTCCATTTTATTATCTCTTTCAACGACAAACAAAATATCCATGCTCAGAAAGTTACTTTGCAATGCAACGTGTTCCTTTTAGTTATCTCTCATCCTTTGCCTGTTGTTGCTACAATGTCGAGAAAGTCATTTGCTGCAATATTTGCTGTGCCGCTCCTCACTTTTTATTGTTTCCTCTTTGAAAACAATTTGCAGTTGATACAAAAAGTAGCACAAAACGTGCAGCTGACTCACACAATGCTTTCCTTAATGTGTGGTTTGTCATGCTGTCTCTCTGCTCTCCTTTTGTGTGTCTTCTGTTGATGTGGCACAACCAAAGAAAATTGGTTCATGGGGTTTTCTTGGCAAGATTTGTCCAGAGGAGGTTTGCCATTGCATTCTCCTGAGGATGAAAGAGTGTGACTTGC